GGTTTAGGGTTAAAAAAAGGGTTTAGTAGTCCAGGGTTTAGGGTTTAGGGTTTAGCAGTCCAGGGTTTAGGGAATGTCTCCACCAGATTGGGAGAACACCTGAATGCATCTAGGGGCTCCTGTTTGCAGTTCGACTGGGGTTTAGGGCTTAGGGCTTAGGGCTTAGGGCTTAGGGCTTAGGGCTTAGGGCTTAGGGTTTAGGGTTTAGGGTTTAGGGCCAGCTCTACGGTTTCGAGGGTGTGGCTTCCTGGTGTGGCCACTCCAACACCGAAATCCTTGCAGGCGCTTTCTTCTCCATCTACCTGCTGTATGTCATCAAGTTCATCTTGAAGGATCGGCATGCCCTTTTGAGGCTTCAAAAAGGAATTTTCAGGATGAAAGGCGACTTTGAGCCTGATCCGGTTTGTGGTCTGCTTCTAGCTCGGCTGATCTCATTGAGCACATTGCCCCTCAGCTCGTCATGCCGGCAAGCTCGCTCTAAACCCTAAACCCGAAACCCTAAACCCTAACACGGCATGCCTTGGCTTGCCCGTGTGGAGGAGTTCTGCATCGTGTGCTTCAGCTTCCACTGCTGTAGCTTGGCCCAGCTTGGAAGCTGAATTTTGGGATGTTCACCCTTATTGGGTTTAGGGCCTAAGTTTAGGGTTTAGGGTTTAGGGCTTAGGGTTCAGGTTTAGGGTTTACGGTTTAGGGTTTAGAGTTAGTTCTGCCTGATACTATCAGTCCTGGATAGGGGTTTTCGCACCCCCGATTCTAATTCCTATTAAAGACTGTTAGTATAAGGGGGGAGCATCCCAAGCTATGGGACCCTAAACCCTAAACCCTAAACCCTTACTATGTACAGTGTAACATAGCTTATATCGGTAGGCCCTTGGGAGATTTTTGTTATCTTCTTCTATTGGGTTTAAGAGGACGACACCCTAAACCCTAAACCCTAAACCCTAAACCCTAGAGGGTTTGAACGGGCCATCCTGGCTTATCTCTCACAGGCTCACAGGGACACTTTATCCGAAGCAACTGCTTTCTTCTTCCCCGCTCTCGACCCCACAGTACCCTCTCCCCTAAACCTTGTCGGGTTTAGGGTTTGGGGTTTAGGGCTTAGGGCTACTTGAAGGTTCGTGGGTAGTTAGAAGTGGGGTAAGCAGTAGGTTAATAGTAACTATGACTGGCTATAACCTGTTTTCGGGTACTTAGAAGCCTACTAAAAACTACCCGTGAACCCTAAACCCTAAACCATAAACCCTAAACCTTCAAGTAAGCCCAATCACCGAAGACGACGTGCCAGCAACATGAGGCAACTTTGCCATGCTGGCCTTGGCGATTCTGGAGTACAGAGCACCAGAAGTAGGTGCCGGCCTGTGGTAGGGTTTAGGGTTTAGGGTTTCGGGTTTAGGGTTTAGGGTTTAGGGTTTAGGGCTTCAAGATGTCTTCGGTGGGTGACCCGGCCGTGAAAAAGGCAGCATCAGCCCTTCTCCATGCGATTGTTTCTGCAAAAGGTTTTCTGCGGCCTTCCCAAAGACGATCTCGAAGCCTCAACAGCTTTACATTCCGTCGGTTCTTTGACGTAAGCGAGTCTCACTCGCCTCACGACCTTGCCCACGTGTTGATGTCAAGCTTGCAACGCTGTATTCAAATCCGGTGTGCGCTTGCATCTGTTCTGCTCGTGGTGCGCTTCGTGTTGTATAGCTCAGAGACAAGCGTAAGGTGAGCTGGTTGTTGTCCTTTGCCCACTGAGGGGCGATTATGACTTCGACTTCGAACACACTTAGGGCAGGATTGATATTGGACTGCGCTGCTTGCTAACGATTGGAGTTCGAAGGGGTGGTGCGATTGGGTCTTACGCCGTGCTGCTACGACCGTTGAGGCAAGCGCGCCGCCAAGAAGGAGTGAGCAAGTGGGGCCGCAAGAGTGCTGGGAGAGAAAGCTTCTCAGCTCCTCTGGACATGACACCGCCCTGCGGTTAATCTGGGGGTCGGAAGAATGACTAATAGTATTCCCTTATGGTCCCTTAATAATTCTACTCTAAGAAACCCCCAAAACCCTCTTCAAATTTTTTCAAGGCCCCTTCATAATCGCATGTTGCTTTGTGGCCGCGGGTTTTGGGTGATTGATGCACAGCGAAGTTAGCACATTGCTTCTCTGTCCATGCCTTGTACTTGGAGGTTCATGGTACTTATTAAACACTTATAACTGTACTTATAAGCATACTAGGGCACTTAAGGGGCTTACAAGTGGGTAAAAAGTACAGTTATAACTGGTTAAGAAGCACCATGAACCCTCCAAGTAGCGACTGCTGCCTTCGAGTGTAGTAGGCACGAGGGCAGCCCGAGAAGCCTCCGGCCACACCCTTTCGGCGCCCTCGAGCCTCGCATCCCATCGAATAGCGTACCAATCTCAAGAAAAAGCCCAGATGGTGCCTTTCTACTGCGCTCTCGAAGAGATGCAAAAGCGATGACGCCGGCTTGGGATGACATTGTCCCTTCATCACCAGTTAACACAATTGGAGCTTTCTCGGAGCTGCCGTAGCTGACGGTGGGCCACGTAGGAACCACGTAAGCTGCACGCAGGCAAACAGTGGTGAACTGAAGATTCCTGGACATACGTTGCTGAGTCAGGAACCCTAAGGACCTCTATAGCTACTTGAAATTGGCCTCCCTGATTGTGTTGGAGGTTTGCGTTGCATGTGGTTTCGGTCATAAGTAGGCTTGCCCTACTTATAACCCTACTTCTAGCTACCCATGAACCTCTAAGTAGCCCTAAACCCTAAACCCCAAACCCGAAACCCTAAATCCTAAACCCGACAAGGCTTCGAGGCGTAAAGCTGAAGCGTTCGCCCGGTCTGCCTGCGCAGCCGTACCCTAAACCCTAAACCCTAAACCCTAAACCCTAAACCCTAAACCCTAAACCCTAAACCCTAAACCGCAAGGTTCAGCGGACAGAAACCGCGAGAGAGCGAGGTGCGCGCAAAAATATGTGCTTGAAGAAGGGTTTAGGGTTTAGGGTTTAGGGTTGTTATAAACAAACGTAAATGAGAACCATTTCAGAACAAGGTATCTCGCGGCAAGAATTTCTCGAGTTCTTCATTCTGAGAACCCACAGCCTACTGAGCCCTGTGAACCCTAAACCCTACACCCTCTTAAGCCCTAGAAACCCGTCAGAACCAAAGATGACGATAGGGGCCTTAGTAATTAGAATAGTTACAAAGTGACCAGAAGGGAATACTATTCGTAATTCTCTATGATGCAGCCGGTGTGAGGTCCAAGGCACTTCTGCGGCAGCTACCTGAGCTTCGGTAAGTGCCTCAGTAGGTCAAAGGGTTTAGGGTTTAGGGTCCAGGGTTTAGGGTTTAGGGTTTAGGGTTTAGGGTTCGAGGTAAGCGGCAGAAGCCGGCTTATCAGTCATTAGGGGTCCTTGTTGCTGTTGTGGTGGGGGGGGAGGGGGGGATTACGACATTAGGGGAGGGTACCGTCTTGGGGGTCCTTATTCTGAGGGGATCCTGCTAATTTGGGGGAGGGGGGGGGGGGGGGGGGGGGCAGAAGTCTATGCTTTACGACTATGAGTTCGCTCATTGAAAAGTGCGAAGAGAAGTCCCTGCTACACATCCCTTATATATATATATATATATTTATTTATATTTGTTTATTTTTTTACCAACATATATACATAATGAATATATGTATATAATATACATACATGTACATTATATATGTATATTTATATAAATTAAATATATCATATTATATATACTCCATTGGAAATTATCTGCGCTGGGGGAGTTGTTCGGCCACGGGAGCAACGGCCAGAACCTGCAAGCAGCCTCCGGCCGAAATCCTTGTTCACGTTACAACCCTGAACCCTAAACCCTAAACTCTAACCTTAAACCCTAAACCCTAAACCCTAAACTCTAACCTTAAACCCTAAACCCTAAACCCTAAACCCTATACCCTACCCTTTTTGAAGCTGCGGTCAGGACACTTCGCCTGAGCAGCGCGGGCTTGAGCGCCGAAGGCATGTGTCTTGGGGATCTCGAAAGTTGAACCTGCGATTTGGGACACCGTATCACACTCCTATCTGTAGTGACCTATGGTTGTTTAGGTTGTTGTTGGCAGCTTTGTCGTGTTTATGGGACACTTTGCGATCCTACTTTGTGCACCTGTTCCCTTCTTGTTGGTTTTGGTATGCATCAGGTGTTAGCACAATGCAGTTCGGGATTCGAGGAATGGTTTGTTTAGTTACAATGACAGCTTGCTGGCCAGCCTGTCCCTCGTGCCAGGAACGTGTGCTCTGATAGGCAGTCGCAGCTCCGCGTTCTTGTTGTTACTCATGCCGGCTTCTTGTCAGTCGTGGCCGCGGTGATGAGGGGCACTAGTGTTCGTGATGATGATGGTGGTTATGATGACGAGACGGAACTCCATGAACATCGGCTGAAGCTGCAGGACTGTCATCAGCCTGAGCAGTTTTGCGGTCCAACAGCGTCAAGGCGTACCGTCCATCCAAAGGTGCTCCAGGCAGCCATTTCAAACGAACTTGCGGCTGTAGTGCAACAACAGCAACAATCTCAATGGCAACACAAACGCAACTTTGGCTGGCATGTGCAAACATGAGCATCGCAGAGCTGCTGCTGCAGGCGTCAAGGCCACGATTGAAGCGTTGACCGATCGCTGGCCAGGGGCTCATGGCATCAGGGCACAGTCAGCTTGTGGTGCAAGAAACTTCACTTGAGGTTTAGGCGCAACTAAATAGCTGCGTGCCATGGCAGCTGGCATGTGCACTTCATGATGTTGAAACCTTGGGAGGGTTCTTTGGGCGTTGGCCTTGGGAAACTTTCCGACCGCTACAAGAAAGATACTAGAGCAGTTGAAGTTGTCAAGCACGTAATCGTTGTGCTCTTACTTTCAGGGGGCTATGCGGCTATGCACTTCGACTGCCGCTTTCTGGCAGGTTGGCTCTGCCAGCTAAAGACAATGGCGAGGCAAGCCCGTGCAATCATGCGACTGGTTTATAGTGTCCATGCTCAGAGGCAGCTCCTGTGCATCTCGATTCGAAATACGGGGATGTGTTCCGGTTTGTCCAGGTTCAAGGTCCGGCTGCGGGTGTGGCATTTGAGACCTGAGAACTGGCGACAAAAATGAACCAGGACTAGGACAATGGAAAACAGCTTGCCAAACCAGTGCTTTTTTGTAGGAGGCACCTGACCCGCTTTGTGCCTTGCTGGATATCTAGCCCAAGCACAGAGACCCAATGCCGTGATAATAGAAGGTTCTCAGGCCCACTGCCATAGTCCTCCGCTCCTAAAACCTAAACTTAGGGTTTGAAACAACGTGCCCTGCAATCTCACATGCTTCGCGAAGGTGGACCCTTCGCGCGTCAGTGCTGCTAGTGCCTCGAGTGGCCGCAGCCTTGTTCCTTCGTACCGGTTTAGGTTTTAGGGTTTAGGGTTTAGGCTTCAAAATGGCTACGGCTCAAGTTTGGCTACGAGGCTCTAATGAGCATACTGTTCTATAATTCGCTCGCGCGTTTGCTGCAATGGATTCATCACCGTCTGGGAAGCGAAAACTGGTGTCTTGCCTAGCTTATTCCTTGAGATTATCCACCAGACTGAACTATCGGATGACAGCTAGCATCTTGAAGTGCACCCTACAAGAGTTGTGCGATCATCCGGCCGTATCGACTCGAAGAACCATCAGCTTGTATGACGCCCTGCATGTTGACGACGGCGCGTGGCATCAACATAAACCACAGGGGGTCGGGCTGCATCTGCATGAGGCCGAGAATCGACCAAATGATGCGGATGACTATGGTGAGTGTGCTTCATCCGGTGCGGGTGGGGTAATGTCAATGGGGACGCAAACTACGCACAGGGTCTATACTGATGATGAGTGCCGGAACATCGCTCAGACTTTGGTGGCAAATGTGGTGGCAACGACTGAGGCCTCTCTTCAAACCTTACAGAGACGGATTTATGAACTCGAACGAGATGCGGGCCTCTGCGAGCTTGAGCAACCAGGCTCAGGTGAGGCAAGCCTCCCGATGCAACCTTTCGGTCCAGCTCTGGATGATGCAAGAGAAGAGAAACCTCGTGAATCCTCGGTTCAACCTTTCGGTAGAGTTCTCGATGATGCAAGCGAAGATGAACCTTGTGAGTCCTCGCAGTGTCTTGATTTGCCTGAAAATGCGGGCATACAAGCTTTAATTGAGCAGCAACGATTAAGGCGCTTAGCTATCCGTGACTTACGTCGCATTTCTAGGGTCTTCTCTGCGAAGTTGTAGTCTGGCTGTTGCTGCATGCGCTTGCTCTTACTCACCGTAATTCGCACACTTCTGACTGTCCCGCTTACACTTTCACGGGGGTAGCCACGAGAGCTGTCCCTGGCAGGCTTGACGTTTCGAATGCCTGAGAGAGAGAGAGGGTTTAGGCTTATGCTTTTGGAGAAAATTCCCAGAGCCTCATGCCGAAGAGCCGTTACAATCAGGGTTCAGCGTTTACGGCGCCACCGACGGCCTGACATTCAAAGTGAGAGACTTCTTCTTCCCTGCCATGGATATCCCGGGGGAGACCAGACCTTCTGGACCTGTCCCTTTGCAGAAGACCTGATGTTGGCCCCATTGCAGGGCCTTGCGGGGCTGGACTGAATACGTGCAAGAGAGAGAGAGAGAGACTACTACTAATACTAATAGTAGTATTAACTGTACAAATTATAGTGACGTCAGCGACGTCATTTTGAAATTAGCGCCAAATTAGTGACGTCAGAAATCCGAAATTAAGCCAAATTAAGGACCTGGTTTGGCACCAACAAGCTGTAGGACCTGAGGCCCCTCCTGGTTGGTTTTGGAGGTTGGAATTGGCTTCAAAAACCCTATCTGGCCCAGATAGGGTGTTTGGGAGCAAAAAAACCCTATCTGGCCCAGATAGGGTTGTTTTGAGCAAAAAAACCCTATCTGGCCCAGATAGGGTTGTTTTGAGCAAAAACTGGCCCGTCCCCTTCCCTGCCTCCCCCTCTCCCCCTCCCCCGCACCCCCCCACCCCTCCTGGTTGGGTTTGGGGCTTGGAATTGGCTTCAAAAACCCTATCTGGCCCAGATAAGGTTTTTCGGAGCAAAAACACCCTATCTGGCCCAGATAGGGTTTTTTTGAGCAAAAACTGGCACGTCCCCTTCCCTGCACCCCTCTCTCCCCTCCCCCGCACCCCCCCACCCCGTCTGGTTGGGTTTGGGGCTTGGAATTGGCTTCAAAAACCCTATCTGGCCCAGATAGGGTTTTTCAGAGCAAAAAAACCCTATCTGGCCCAGATATAGTTTTTTTTGAGCAAAAAACCCCAATCTGGCCCAGATAGGGTTTTTTTGAGCAAAAACTGGCCCGTCCCCTTCCCCTCTCCCCTCCCCCGCACCACCCCAGTTTGGGGCTTGGAATTGGCATCAAAAACACTATCCGGCCCAGATAGGGTTTTTGGGAGCAAAAAAGCCCTATCTGGCCCAGATAGCCCCCCACCCCTCCTGGTTGGGTTCGGGGCTTGGAATTGGCTTCAAAAACACTATCTGGCCCAGATAGGGTTTTTGGGAGCAAAAACACCCTATCTGGCCGATAGGGTTTTTGTTGAGCAAAAACTGGCCCGTCCCCTTCCCTGCCCCCCCCTCTCCCCTCCCCCGCACCCCCCACCCCTTCTGGTTGGGTTTGGGGCTTGGAATTGGCTTCAAAAACCCTATCTTTTTCAGAGCAACAAAACCCTATCTGGCCCAGATAGGTTTTTTTTGAGCAAAAAAACCCTATCTGGCCCAGATAGGGTTTTTTTTGAGCAACAACTGGCCCGTCCCCTTCCCTGCCCCCCCCTCTCCCCTTCCCCGCACCCCCCCCCACCCTCCTGGTTGGGTTTGGGGCTTGGAATTGGCTTCAAAAACCCTATCTGGCCCAGATAGGGTCTTTTCAGAGCAAAAAAACCCTATCTGGCCCAGATAGGCTTTTTTTGGAGTCCCTTCCCTGCCCCCCCTCTCCCCCACCCCCTGGTTGGGTTTGGGGCTTGGAATTTGGTTTCGCGTTCTGGAGTTTGGGTTAGCCCAGGTCGCCCTGAAAATGGGGTTTGGCTTTGCTTCGGCCCTATTTGGCCAGATAGACTCAAAAAAACCTATCTGGCCCAGATAGGGGTTTTTTCAGGGTTTGGGGCAAGGTTTGGGGTACAGGGCTCAGGTTGTTCCCAAATCGGCTTGACATTGTGTTTTGGGCTGCAGACAGGCTCGTTGTAGGGTTGTTTCAAGGTCGTTGTAGGGTTGTTTCAGGGTGGCCCAGGTAGGCTCCTTTTAATAGGTTGTTGCAGGGTTTGAGTGAGTTTAGGGCAGGGCTGAGAGTTTTAGGTTCCGTCAGGCCCCTGAGTTTGGGTGGCTGGGCTATGTGTAAACCCTGGAGCTTAATTTCGGAAACGAAATTAAGCGCGACGTCCTTAATTTCAATTTTGAAATTAAGCGCGACGTCACTAATTTCGCGTTTCATATTTAGCGCGACGTCATTTGCCTAATTTGGGTTTTGAAATTAATATAATTTCGGCAGTATTAATCCTAATCATAAATACTACTACTACTACTACTACTACTACTACTACTACTACTACTACTACTACTACTACTACTACTACTACTACTACTACTACTACTACTACTACTACTACTACTACTACTACTACTACTACTACTACTACTACTACTACTACTACTACTACTACTACTACTACTACTACTACTACTACTACTACTACTACTACTACTACTACTAGTACTCGTACTCGTACTCGTACTAGTACTAGTACTAGTACTACTACTACTACTACTACTACTACTACTACTACTACTACTACTACTACTACTACTACTACTACTACTACTACTACTACTACTACTACTAAGAATACGACTACTAGTACTAATAATAGTAGCAACATCAGTATCAGGCTCAGTCTGAAGCTGCCGTGTGACGCTAAGGCAGCGCGTATGCGCTGCAGGCCAGCTCTCCGTCAAAGACTCCCATGTCAGCATGGCTGCCCGCAGCCCCAGCCACTTTTGCAGATAAAGGGCCCTAAGCCCTGAACCCTAAACCCTAAACCCTAAACCGCTCTCCGGTCGTAAGCTGTGAGGTGACAAAAAGCCTTGCGGCCCGAGGTGGCCACAACCCCACATGCCAAACATTGAGCGTTCAGCCCCTTTCTAGGGTTTAGGGTTGAGGGTTTAGGGTTTAGGGTCGTTAAGTCTTCTTTTGCAAATGGGTGGGCTACCCCCTCCCCCCCAAACCTCCTGGTTTCTCCAAGTTCAACCTGCAAGATCGCTTTGTGCGGAACAGCAGCCAAAGACGAGGACTTGCATTAAGAATCATTCTGTTTGCCATGGGGTGTGGCTGCGCCCCACATTCGTCCTCGGCGGGCCGGGAATCAGGGGCCGGTGGCCATAGTCTGCAACTCAACATGTGTTCTCATGCAGAGCCAAAAGGACACTTGTGCGCGTTAAGAAGAGGAGAATTATGCGCTCGTAAACTACTCTTTCGCTTCGTTCACTCACTTATTGCATTTCGCACGCTACACAGATTTCGTGAGCATATACATTTCGTGAGCTCTCTTCGTACCTTAAACACCATTAGTCAGAGGTGAACTCATGAAAGCAGGAAATAGGGTAAAACCTAAACCCAAAACCCTGAGACATAAAAAACAAAGAAAGAAAAGAACACTACACCCTACATCTCCTCTTCCTTAGGGTAAAACCTCCTCCTGAGGCCTCATGCCGGAGCCAACGGAGCTCCTCGCGCACCTCGTGGTCTCCAGGTCGGGATCTTCCGATTCTGGCTTAGGGATGTTTAGGTTTAGGGTGCAGGGTTTAGGGTTTAGGGTTTAGGGTTTAGGGCTTGGGGCTTAGGGTTGAGGGTTTAGAGGGATGCATGCAATCCTTGCGGACCGTCCGAGCGGACAACATAATCATGGCATAACGCCGGGAGTACGCCGGATCAAAAGTTCATTCGTGACCAACTAGCCAGCAGCGTCCCTGCGACGCTGCTTGTTGAAGTCCTAGCTCTTCCATCTAGGCTGAGCATCGCAGATGTCTTGGGGTTTAGGTAATTACGTACACGGGGGATGGTGAGGACTCAAACGTTCCTCCCAAAGAGCCCAATACCCCTTAAATAATGAATATACACCTTAAATCAGATTAAGGATCCTTAATCTGATTTAAGGCGAATTCCTTGTTTAAGGGGTATTGGGCTCTTTGGGCTTCAAGAGGTGTGATGCGTATGTCTGCATGAATTCTCTTGGCGTCGCTTCCGGCAGACCTCCAGAGCCGATGTAATTAGGGTTTGGGGTTTAGTGACTTAGTGCTTAGCGAGGGTGTTCGGCTGTGGGTTGGATGGTGCCTTAGCTTAGTTCGGGTTGAACACAGGTGGCCGGAGTTTTGGAAGCCGAGAAGGTGTCGCGCATGTTGTGTACCCCTCATCTGGCAGGATCCGAAAGCTAGCGAACTCGGACCTCAGAGGGGCGGGCTCGAGCCAAACCTTCGAAAGCTGCCAAGCCATGTGGGTAATTCCAAAAAATAGGGGTACCCCCTTACACACACCCCAAATTGAATAGAATCCCCTTGAAAGGGACCCTTCAAGAGGGCACCCCTATTTTCGTAAACCCCCCATGTGGGTGGGCAGTGTGTGTGGCTACAAGGTACTGGAGCTGGCCGCTAGCTCAGCGGACGCCGCCGTCCGAGCCCCAAGCGTTCATCGGCGGCTCGGTTTTCTGATGTCATGGCCCGGGCTTTGTGGGGAAAGGGTTTGGTGTGGGAATGGAAGCGACGCGGGTTTAATATCGTGCTCAAACTCAACCTCCTGGTACCACCGGGGCCTAAAGCCGTCTACTTCGAATCTGAACCTAGACTTACCAAGCCTCAAACAAGAAACCAACTGAAAGAGCCCCATTGTCTCGGACCCCAAGGCAAAAAAACCCTAAACCCCAAACCCTAAACCCTAAACAAACTTACAGAAGGTCTTGAAGTGCCAAGCCTAGGTGCCAGAGCTCGGGCTCTACCTGGCCCCTCAGCTGCTACTCTAAGATTCCGGGGGCCTTGAAGGGCTTTTTAAGGGCTACTTTTAGGGGTTTTAACATGAATCAGATTTGGATGCCCAGTAGTAACCTTATTCCCTCTGTGGGTAGGCTCCCTTATAAACCCCTGTAAGCAAAAAAAGGGGCGCCCTTTGCAATCCTATCGATTACTGGGAAACCTGGCAGGGTTTTGGAGGGCTTTGTGTAGGGACTTAAGGTT